CTTATGTAATGTAGCAGAAAATGCAGTGTGAGATATTAGATTTTTGGTTTAATAATCAATCTACTGCCATATTCAAATGTGAAATAAAAATGTCACTATGATATTTGCATACTTTTATCTGTCTGCTGCACTGTCTGTCTGTGTGATTATCAGTGGTGAAATTAAAGTTGCAGTTAGGAGAAATGAGATTTTTACTGCGATTTAACAACCATCAAATGATCTCCCAGTGTTTGCTAGGAAGGAGGGGACCACAGGGACCAGTGGGTAATTAGGTTAGTGGGTTGTCAGTGTCAGGAAATTGAAAGACAATCCTAATCAGATTTCTGTTTCTAGGGAATCAAATAATTTATATAAGTAGCAGAAATCTCCTCATTCCTCTGGTAAAACGATAATGCAGTTTGTTTGAGCAGCTCTTTGTTGTGTGCATGATTATTTTGAATTAATTTGGCCCTCTAAGGAAAGCTAAAGGTAGACTGGGGAAAGCGTGCACTTCTGCAAGAATTATAAATGTTCTGAAGAACACTTACAGGTTTTTGATCTTTTAAATTTACATGCACGAGACTCTTTATTCGAAACTGCAGTTAGTAGAGGTTAACAGTAAATCATTCAGCTTACTGTACTCTGTACAGATTTCAGGTGGTAGTGTAATTGAGTCAGTCTGTGCTTTTTTTCAGTTTCCCCTCTCCTTGTCGTGTTCCACTTCTTCTCTTCTGTCCTCCTCCAATTTCATATTTTTTAAAGGAAAGGGGAATGAAATTAGCATAATTTCCAGTAGTAACACTCTAGCTTCATTTGCCGTAGCCTCTGTGGTTCTAATGTGATGAAATCATTTAGCGAGTGCTCCCCCATTCGACAGCTGAGAATGTCAGCTAGGACGGATGTGCTTTAAAGCAGTGCGCTGTGTCTGTTCAACCTCCTGCAGGTGGATTTGACAATATGCTTTCTTATATTTACCCTGTTAAATATATACCTGAAATATAGAATAAACATCCGTTATCATGATTGTCTATTGAAAATGGCATAAAGTGGCATTAAGAGAAAAAAAACCTTAAAAAAACAAGATGTTTATTTATTTTCTCAAAAATGAGGGATACTTTGCATTTTGTTGCCATATGGCAACAGCATGCAAGAGTGGAACTGCTATATACAATGCATGCAAAGGGAGTAAAGCCATTATACTGCCATAGAACATGGTTATATTCATCATCCACACTTGAGAAAAAAATGTTCCTAGCAGCCCATTAATTCATTAATAACAGCCATTAATTCATAAATTAAGGTATACTAGAATATAGAAAGATACAAAATAATTTAATTGATTAAAAAAAACCTCTGAGTTGGCATTGTCCAGTGTTTCCAGTGGCAGTGTGCACTCCCATTGTATGCATTGCAGATTGCAATTGCCTGCATGCTGTTGCCATATGGCAACAATGATAATGTATCTATTTGTATAAATCTACAGGGTCTAAACTGGTTTTACCCATGAAAACAAAATTCTAACTTACCACAGATTGCTTTAATTTTTTTTAAGAAAAAAAGCAACACTTTAAGAGGACCTCAGATACTAAACCTCACCATGTGATGTGTATGTGAAAAAGTAGGAATGCCCCTAAATGGGATTTGTGTGCCAGTATCCAATTTTTTTCACATACATATCTGCTGATACTGATGCATAAACAATCATAAAATGGGGCTACCTAGTAACTACTTAGTGTTCTAGAGAAATAACATTTATTTTTGTAATTAAAATGCAGCCATTTTAGCACAGTAGCCCAGCATCACCTAAATGTTCTGCTTTTCTGGAGTACAATAAATATACAATCAAATATAAGTTTGAAACATCTGTCAAATCTAAATATCTGTCCGATGCTGTTTTGTTAGGAAATATCCCAGTACACATTATTATTCCAATATCATTGTGCAACTCTATAAAAAGTACAAACTGCAACAGAAAGGCATGTGATCAAAAAAGTATTTATATGCGAAGCCTTCTGTTTAACAAAGTAATTGACAAAAATGACTTTGACGTTATAGTCAGCCAAAAAGTAAAAGAAAGCCATTGTTGCCGTATGGCAACACCAAGCAGTAAAGGGTTAAATGTAGCATTTCAGAGCTTTATGTTGCAGATTTTTTAAGCCTTTAGCTTCATATTTCATCTACATAAACTGAACATATCCTTTTTCTGCAAAATGAAATTACAATAAATAGTATATGAATCATATAGATATTAGAGGTTGTGCATTTGCATTGTGTGAAATGTAAAAATGTAAAAGCATTCTTATCAAATAATTGGCTAATAAATAACAGATGTTGTGATGAGCATGGTGGCATTTATTGCAGTATATTAGCTCAGGAGTGAACGCAGTAGGCTTAGCGGCAGAAATACACTGATAAGCTTCTACACTCGTCCTGCTGGAGTTGCTTAAATAAAACCAAGCTGATTTATTGGAGTGTATGTGTGTGTGGTCTGTTACAGCACAGTGTGGTAAATTTCATGGCTGGCCATGCTCTGGTGTATATGCGCTGCTGCCGCAGCCGCTGCAGTGTGTATATGAAATGAGTGAGTGTCTGGTTAGCATGCTCAGCGGCTCTGCTGAAAAGCTAAATAATTAGAGGGCCAGTCTGTGAGATCATTGACCCCGGTTTAAATATTCATGTGTTTGTTGTGCAGCAGGCTGAGGTGCAGGCTCTGTAGTGTGACAGTGGAGCAGGAGCAGCACATAGCTCAGTTCTCACATATGGAGCACTGCCACCGCTGTGACATACACTGACACAAGCTGCCTCTACTGGACACCTCCTCTATCTGCTCTCTCTCTCGAGCGCTCTCTCTCTCTTTCTTGAACCAGTCAGTGCATGTTTGTGCAAGTTGTTTGTATGTCTGCTTCTTTATCTTTCTTCGGTTTTAAATATCCTTTTGAGGACATGAAATTATTTATTTACACTCTGATACTGTTACCTTAGAGGATTTTAAGCGTTTGTGTGTGTTGGGGTGTGTGTGTGTGTGTGTGTTAGCACTGAGAGATTTAGGAAAAATATCGAATTGTGAGTTTTCTTTGACCAATATTGCGATTGCGATTCAAATGTCATTATTCTCTAGAAATTAAGCTCTAACCCTATTTTTGCCAAGACCAGCACATCTCTTTTTTCAGGCTTGAGGCCTGAATGCCGAATGAGGTGGGCCACACTGCCAGTTTGTGATGTCTACATTATTAAATTACATTTTTCCAGTTTTCCAACTTGATAAAACAACATTGAATAATGTGAGATATAATGAAAATTGCAGCTTTCACTTTGTGAATTCGATGTTAAATGATCAAATGTTGAGCCCTGTTATGTATGTACAGAGAGAGAGAGAGAGAGAGAGAGAGAGAGAGAGAGAGAGAGAGACAGAGAGAGAGAGAGAGAGAGGGGAAGAGAATGCATCTCTATTGAAGAGTCTTGGTTATTTGGGTGCTGTAATAAAGTATCATGTTCTAGTGATTTTTTTTTAATAAAATGATGTGGATAATTGTGCAGTAATTGCTTCGAGTAATTGCTGTAGAGTTGAACGATTTAGGAAAAATATCTGGAATTCTTCTGACAAGCATGGTGACTGGGCTGAAAGATTAGTCATTTTTATATTGAAATCACAGTTTTAAAGAGTGCAATTTGCAAATCACTAAAGCCTCGTTTTTATTATAGCCGACACTGTCAAAAATGTTTTCTTAGCAAGATGGTGAGGAAATTTAACCCCCTGAAACTGAACCTGTAGAGGTGTTAGACCAATCAGAAGCAACCACACACCCTTATGCTGTGACATCAGAACCTCAACTAAATGGCAGTCTGGCACACTACATTCACCGCTGAAGCCTCGAAAGTGGATATATTCATCTTTGTGGACTAAAAACTCAACCTTCATTTATAGAAAATAATTACAATTTTTAGGAAAAACACATTTAGATATTTTCACCAAAAATGTTCAGCCCCATTTAAATAACACTTATTCACCAAATTGTTCAGCCCGATTTTAATTACTATTATTTTCTAAGTTGAGGTCAGAGCCTTTTTTTTGCCAAAAAGACCACTAGCATATCGAAGGTCACAGTTTCATGGTTAGTCAGGCTTTTTCAACCACTTCTCATCTTCACAGAGCTGGTAGTTAGTAATATCACACATGACACTACCAAGCGCATGCGTAACATGTAAGAAGATGAAGGAGACAAGGAAGCAGGACACAGCTGTGAGCTGGGAGTTTTACTGGTGTCCATGATAAAAGCAGCAGGAATAACAGAAATGAAAGAAATGCTAAACCAGAAAACTACCTAAGAAACTAGAGGAACTACAAAACAAAGCACAAAAAATGAAATCTGAGAACACAACTAACAACACAAAACAAGGACCAGGATAAACACAAGAGGTATAAATACTGAGGGAACCAACAAGATACACCTGGGAACAACTACGGGACAAAAGTTCAGACACAGATGAGGGGCATGACAAAGAGGCGGAGCAAGGAAGGAGCAAGAAAACAAAAACAAAAGCAGAAACATATGGCGTGAGGGAAGGTAAACAAGAGGAGAAAACATACAAGGATGTTAAGATGTTACATCATTAAAAACACAATATTACTGGCCATTAATAATCCAACCAACAAACATCTGACAGTTCTTTCGCAGCTCAGTCACTCTGAAAGTAACAATTTGCATACTTTTAATTTATTTAGTTTTTAGAATTAATGCTTAAAAGTATTTAGAAATAATTAAAGGTTTCAATATCCGTATGGGTATCTGGAGAGATAGGTGCCACCTCAATTAATCCAGTTTGCTAATACAATATTATACTGCATTAGGTATATCACAGTCCACATCATAGAAAACATACAGTAAAATATGTAACTGAGCTCATTTTGTGTGTGTAAGGAAAAGAGTGTGTAGTGTGTGAGTGTTGGAGTGGGGAGGTCTCTGTGTGTGTGTATAGGGTCTATGTATGTGTGTGTGACCTGCTGTTGTGTGCTCTTTCAGGTGTTCGTCTGGATCGTGTGCGAGGAGGCAGGCAGAAGTATAAGAGGAGGATTGACACAGAGAACAGTGCTTACCTGGGCCTCACACTGCCACCTCCAGCAAAGAAACCATGTAAGCTCTCCTGCATTGTCATGATTTCTTGATTAGAAACAGTAACATCAATTAAAATGTAACTTCTTGATGAATCTGCAGTGATTATATGGCTGATATCTTTTACAGTAAGATACAGATCCTGATAAGATACGCATTTATAAGCACTGTTTTGTCACATAGTGTTTGATAGTTTGATAGTTTTGATAGCTTTTTTATTTTATCTAGAATAATATATTATATAATGTTGATTTAAATATTCTAACCTAGAAATCAAAATTGAAAGATGTTTTTAAGCAGTTTATTTAAAATTTCAAGAATTCATTGAACAGTATAAACTATATTTTAAACTATTTTTGTCACTTCACATCATCAGAAAAAAATCATGCTACAGCTTTCATAGTCATTTTAGAATCTTACTTATCTGCAACCAAATTGGTTTTATTTTGTTGAAAACACTGACGACTAAATTTATAACAGCAATTTCAAACTTTTGTAGGCTAGTATATTTTAAGCTAGTCTTTTTAAAATTCTCCTTGTTTATCTTTCTCCGGTGAAGTATTTACATTGTTGTCATTCCGTTAAACCCATTTTTAATGTATGGCCATTTTTAAAAACACTCATTTAATTATCAGAATATTTGGTAATTACTAAATTAATAATACAATCAATACTGATGGCCTTAACGCTTCTAGATTTATATGACACTGTGTACACACACTTCTTTCTGCTACAGTTCATACTGAAAACAGAGCAGCACACAATTACAAACACACACACACTTTCTACTGAATGGCGTGTACACAGCAGAACAGTCTGCAGCAGGTGATTTTGTTCTGTTTGACTGCCTCTATTCCCATCAGAGCAAACTCACAGGACAAATATGCACCAAACAATGTTCCAGTCACAAGTCTGTCTGAATCAATACTCAGTCTGTTCTGTTCTCTCTCTACTGCCTGAACTCTAAAGCGCTGGTTATCAATTATCTATATAACTATATATAACAGCACAAAACACCGTGTCCCTAACAGTTCAAATACAGTTCATATTCTAGCCTTTAAGATCCACGTCAAGTACTTATCTGTTTGAATTAAACCTTTAATTTAATTTATGTACAGTACTGTGCAAAAGTCAGAGACCACTTCATTTATTCAATTTTTAGTCAAAACAGCAGTTATGTGCAGGTTTTTAATTTTCAGGAAATATTTCTGAGGAGATTCAATATAAGATAACCCACTTGCATAAGGAAGGAAAAAGTGAAAATGAGTTCCCAAAACTTGGGAAAAAAATTGTTGCAAAAATTATTAAAAGAAAATGAGACTGCTAACAACCATGGAAGACCTGGTAGACCACCAAAACTGCCATCTGATAAATGGCACTTAAAACTTTCACCTTTGAGAGAGAGGAGAAAATCAGGCTCCACTCTTGCTTCAGATCTGAAAAAATTCACAGGTGTTTCTGTCCATCCTTCCACTGTGAGAAGACATTTCTGAAAGGATGTGTAGCGGTCAAGAAGCTCTTACTGAGAAAAGGCAATAGGCAACAATAGAACGTTTGCAAATCAAACAAAGAAGCTGCCGGTGTTCTGTTAACAAAAAAAAACAATAATTCAGTATTAAATATTCAGACCCAAGATATTTTCAAGACTTATGTTATGACCTATTTAAATTTGAGGCATTAATTGAGATACTAATAAGCTAAATATATACAAAATCATCATGTGTAGGGTACATTCTGTTGGGAGGTGGCTGTGCCAAACCTGAACCCTTCAAATTTCAACATACGAAAATAATATTTACTTTTTTTTCACATTTTTTTAATGTAGATATCTTTAATATCTTTTAAAGTGAATTTTTCATGAGTTTAATTTTTTAAATAAAAAATTAGAGCAGGAAGTGAGATTGCATCCCTGTCTTTCATGGCCACATGGTGAGCAAGTTAGATCCCTATGTTTTGAAGTAGTTGTGCCTGAAGTCTAAAAATTTGCCTGTAGCATTAAGAATTGTCACTACCAAAACACATATTTTCTGCAGGTAAGTAAACTTTTTGGTGTTTTAATGAAACATATTATGATTTTGTGTATGTGCACCTGTTCAAAGCTGTGTTTGCTAGTCATGTACTGGCTAGTATTTTTGAGTTCTGCTCAAAATCAGCTAAAGTTGTCACTCCTGAAACAAATGATAAAGTTTCGGTAATGTTATGATTGTTTTGTTAGTGACAAAATGGAATTTTCAGTCATTTATTATAATAAAATAAACATAATTAAGGTACAGGATAATTCAAAGCAAAAGGCTTTTAGTCTGTCATCCAAGTTAAAAGTCTGAGAAGTGTTTTCAACTCTGACTTTGAACCCCTCCAGTAGAACGATCCATATATATTTTATGATTTTGCTGACAATAATAAATGAATAACATCTATTTAATGACTGTTTGACTGGAATGAATGAATGCATAAATAAAGGGTGGTCTCTAACTTTTGAACAGTATTGTACATTAGTTCATTGCTATAACTTGTACAAAATAATAGAGAAATTGTCACAATAAGAACATTTTTTAGGAATATTTTAATAACATTACACTTTTGTTCCAGGCATAATTACCCAATAACACACATGATGGCAGTATAGTTCACAAATTTCTAGATATGCGTCCCTGTTTTAAATTATACACAGGCCTATGCAGGTGGCTTTGATTGGCTATGATTGGCTTTGTAATGTATGAGGTGCTTTTTAATTTCTTTGTACTCCTTAAATGATTATGTTATTCAGCACATTAATGCATCATAATATTAATCTCCATCCTACTCCTCTTCCTCAGTGACGAAGATCGTGTCCCACCTGCTGGTAGCAGAGCCAGAGAAAATCTATGCCATGCCAGACCCCACCATGCCTGAAAGTGACATTAAGGCGCTGACCACCCTGTGTGACCTGGCTGACCGCGAGCTGGTGGTCATCATCGGCTGGGCCAAGCATATCCCAGGTCAGTCCACTTGATCTGAATAGTCTTTGTTAGTTTAAAAATTTTCTAGTACAGAGCAAATACATATGTGCAGTATTCCAAGCAGATGCTTCAGTGCTCATTTTAACTTTTCTAAGGCCGATGCTGAAAACATGGCTATTTCTGTTTATTCTGCCCCTCTCCATTTATTACATGGTATCTCATCGGAATAAAAATATAAGTCATACATCAGTCATGTTTATGGTTACTCTGAGTAAACAAACAGTTGCTGAGCTCTGATCCTTCTCACTTATAAAAAACAACAGTGCATCCAACAATAAGTGAAGCTTTGTGCATCTTTTATACAGTAATAGAAGACATAGCAGCACACAGAAAGCTCTGATTCAACACGCTGACAGAGTTCATTCTGGCCATGCTCCTCTGGTGGCAGATTTAAATGAATTAAGGGGGCCCTCACCAAATTCTCAGAATGGATCGCTGGCAAGATGCTTAATTTGATCAGGGTTAATTAGGAAATACAGTAATAGTATTTGCAATATATCTGTGAACTTACTGCAGAACCATTTTAAATTACATTTAAATATCTTTACAATAACTACACATTAAAACACATTAAAAATCAGACACAGTTTGGTATTTTGGTATTTCGCTTGCAGGTCAATAATTAAATAAGCTTTAAATCCACAGCCTTTTTTCTAACTTTGAATCTAAAATAGTGATCACAGTTTCTCAGCACTTATTATCCATGCCTCTAGGCATGATGATTGTTCATGCAAAAGGTTTACCTTTAATTTTAATGAGATTTTCACACAATTCCTTAACATTTATGCACATTTTTGAAATAAGTAATTAGAAAATACAAAAGTGATATTAAGACCCTCTTTGACTTATAGACATAATAACATATTCTCACTAGTTCTTGTTGCTTTGTGGCCAAGAGAAAGATTCCAAGGAAAGAATACCTGAAGGCTCAGTTAAGATTTTGGAGAAGATGGTAATCGGAAGCTGGGTGAAGTGTTATCTAGTAAGGAGATTAAGGGGATGTTGACCCCCATGCATCCACACACACACAAACCAACACACACACTGTGCAGTGCTGTGTCAGCGCAGAGAGAGTTTAAGCAAGGAGCTTAGCTATGGCTGGATCACTAATGACCCAGTAACACAGTCCCTTCAACCTGCCACACACATCTCTCTTAGTCCTGCTATTGCATTCTCTCTTTTACAAAGACTGAAATGTTATAAGAATGCAGTGGAGATAACAGTTAGGCAGTTTTTAGACAAGGTCTTGGGCTCCTTATCCCCTTAAGTGGCCAGTTTTAGTACAAATTTCTATAATTTAAGAATAGCTCAGCCAGTTTGCACTAAAGTATCTGTATTTACTGAATAATAAGCGTTAGTATGTAGAAAGCCTGAGATTTTAAGGGGTTAAATCATGGAAACTGCAAATTATGTCAAATCAAAACCTCATTACACCATTTCTTTCTTTCTTTTTTATTTTTTATTAATATATATCATTTGAAAGCCAGCTGTCCTTTATATTGTGTCCATATTTCATGACAAATGAACCAATAGAAAAGGTCCAAAGTTACAATAAGATCTTGTTACATTAACGTACATTAAAGTTAAGAACAATTCTTTATTTTCCTGTAAGATGACCATTTTGAGATATTTTGACAAAACTGCAATCATTTTATTGTATTAATTATTTTAGTGGCCAAAACCCATCCTGTGAGCTTTCACCAGTAATTTTGTTATCATTATCACATCACCTGTTTTGTGTTTACACACAATACTGTGCAAAAGTTTGAGACCATCATGCATTTATTTAATTTATAGTCAAAGATCATATATTTTTCTTTTTGCAAGAATTTGTGTGTAGAGCAGTTCAGACACAAGTGATGAACTGCTGCAAATACAGCAACAAACACACTGTAAATGCTTAAGACCACCTAATGTTTACAGTGAAGTCCTGTGTAAATGCTGAGTAGTGACTTTCAGCATTGGTATTTGTGAGCAGAACTGTAGAATCCCTAAATAGATTTCAGCATAATGCAAACTCCATGAGCTGAGTGATCTCATAATGATCCACTAACACAAGCCCTAAACATCTTTAGCACAAACCCTAGTCTTTGACAGTTAATCATGGGGGAATGTTTTTGGTTGTTTTGCAGAGTCGACTGCATGAGAAACAACCTCCCGCTGATTAGAATGACTGACAGTGTGGTCTGAGTCTTAATCCCTAGCCCTGAAATAGAAGTTAGAAATCCTGTAAATGGCATTTAGTGATCTTTATCTCTTTTTAATCATTCCATTTTAAGGGACTTATTTGAAGCATTTGCCTTGTCAGATTTATGCCACCTTTAAACTTTTGTAATATGCGTGCTGTGTAACTAAACTAGCCAATTAAAAGTGGTTTAGCCTTTAAACTGGAAGGGCTTGAATGTGGGCCCACACTTCAGTTTTTCGCTCTTATAACCATATATATTTCATTTTCATGGTGGTTAAAGAACAAATTGTAGTAATTACTGAGTAATATGCCCTAAGATTAATAACTATATAAGTTCTGGTTTGCAGAACATTTTGCTTTCAATCGCCTCCTCGATTTCAATGTTGTGCTGCACATGGAGCACAAATCTGCTTGAGTTTGTGTATCAATCTTGTGTCAGAACCCATGAACTGGAGATTAGCACAGCCCAACACAGCACTCAGGGCATGGCACTGTCATCCCTACTGTGAGACGGCTGATTACATTCTGATAGATTTTCAGCCCTTTGGCAATGGAATTAAAAAAGATTAACAGTTCATTATGAAGTGGGGAACATTGATTAGGACATTGACAGATGGCCAATGACCAAAGTCCAAAGGTAACAATTTATATGTCAAGAAAATTGGCACTTAACTTCCCCAATTGATTTTTCATTGCCCCTTTTGCAAGGATAACATTTGACAAAGCAGGTTATGAAAGAGCGGTAATTTGCAGTAGAGTGGTCCTTTCCAGCACTAATCGGAGAGTGATGGAGAGACAGGCTATGACAATGGTCGTGTTTATTCTCATCCGCAAATACACTGGCTCTGAGTGTGTCTGCAGCATTACTGTTGAAACCGGTGACTTTACCAGTAACCCTGTAATCTATTTCTTTTCTTTATTCATGTTTATTTGCATTTATTGTAATGATGTTTGGTTTTTTTGCAAGCAGAAGCTCACATATATATACAAGATAAGTGTTTTTAAATAATGTTTACACAGTACCGTACTCATCTTTTGGCTCAAGAAATCTGTTTAAGTTATTCACTGTGTGAATAAGACCCTTTAAGTTTTAGGACACAGCATTGCTTAACTATCCAAGATGGCTCATATGTATGGTCAGCTCCTAGCCGCTTTGCCTGTTGATTAATTGATAATTAATCCTGGAGTTGAACAGCTCAGCACAGGCTGGCCTGGCAGCACGAGAGCACGCTCTGTAAATAGTTTGAGTGACGCTTGGCATTGGCGCGCTTATTAAGGCTGATGTGTGGGAAATGTTGACAGATGGCTTTTTTGCTCCTGAGGTGCTAAAGACCTTTGACATACATACGGTAGCTGCTTGTTCTCCTCTGTCTCACATTTCACTGTGTCCAAGTGACACAGGCTCTACTGTAGTTACTCACAGCCTTACACACAATACACTGCAATCTGTTCACAAGTCACTGATATAGAGAAAAAAGAATAAAGTAATAATCCCTCCAAAAAAACAAAAACATCTTCTCAGCTCTGAAAGTGGTTTGAGTCTCACTAGGAAATGTGAGCTATTGACCTATCCATGCTCTGCCCACAAATGTCTTCTTTCATAGCAACCGTTGCTAGACTGGACAAACTTTACAGAACGTTGGCAAAAACCCTACTGATAAATTCAGAGGGGAACCCTCTGGGCCTTCTGTGCCTTCAAAGAAGGTCTACTGATCTCTGTGAAATACAAAATACATGTCTGTAATTTATTTAATAAAATCCTTATGCTTGTTGTACTTAAACTCTACATTTATTTCAGTATTGCCTTTTTCTTTCGTTATTTTGGTTGGAAACAAAAGGGTTAAATACTTGAAACACCCAACAGAAAATTGTCTGATCAGGATTTACTGACTCTGTGGTATCTAGGTAGAGGCAGCCAAGTTAGCTATGCCATTGGTTAGGACTTCAGGAACTGAACTGAAGGCCTAATGTGTCAGATTAACCACCAACATAATCAGAAAGTGAAAGTGAAATCAATCAATCACGATTTGATTTCCAATGGGACAGACTTTTTTAGAGAGAAGTTCACTCTAGGCCTTCTGCAGGTTCTAGATATGTCACTGACGGTTAGTATGAGTGGTATCCTGACCAGTGCATTTTAGTCAGATGTTAGAAATGGAAAACAGCAGCGGCAGCTCTATGTCAGAGCTCTTTACTGAAAGAGTCACTGTAAAACTGCTACATATAAACATTAAATGTAAAATATATGTTAATGTATGTTACAAAGTTTTGCATTTATGTCTTTGTTTAATCTAAGCTGGCCAAAAAAAGTTAATGTGTATCACCATCAGTGTACAGCTAAGATACTACTAGAACTAGCACTAGCAGAAATTAGCATTATTATAGAGGTGTTTTTACTCGTTTTTGACCAAATTTTGACATTTATGGAACTATAGACCTAGCTCTAATAGTCGTGGTTCAGCACTGAAGAAATTGTATGAAGTTTTTATCAAATGATTTTTTTAGTTGTATGTCAAGCTAACAGTATGGTAACAAATTTGCTGTCCTTTCTTTGTTGTTCAACTCAGTAGCTTAGCATTTTACACTGGAAGTGTTACACAGCAAGTCTAATTCCCAACCTAAATTCATTATGTTGAGTGTGATTTTTGCCTTTGTTCTATAAAGCTTGTCCAACCTCACAGCAGCTGCTACAACAGAATGCATTTGAGGATGGTGCATGCATAGGTCAGATCTGTCTGTCAGTAGTCATAAGTTTTGATGAGCCCGTAGACTGAGAGTAGAGTGTACTTTG